GGTGGATCCCAGGGTTCACTGGACAGCCCGACTAGCCTACTTGGTGAGTTCCAGGCTAGTGAGAGGCTCTGTCTCAAAACACAAGGTAGAAAGTGAGACGAACAATACCCAAGGTTGTATTCTGGTGTACACACACATGTACTCTGGTGTACACACACATGTACTCTGGTGTACACACACGTGTACGTAAACAACTTTTTAAATGCAAGTTAGGAATGTGCTTTACCACAAAGCTATATCACCCACTTAAACTTTTTTCAAAATAATGAGTTGGAGGAAGAATAACCCCCTCATGTCTACATTTGAGCCCTAAGGCGACCGCTGTTTCTGTTAAGGCCGCTCCTTGATCTCAACCTGAAGGAACGTTCCCTTTCCCTTCGTCCCGTTACTGATGACATGGGGCTCTCTGGCAGGTTACTGGCCTTGTAGATAAAAGAATATTAAATGATCTCAGAAGGAAATTCAGGGACAGTGTTATTGGTACTTGACAGTGAAGACAGCAGGATTGGACAGTTGTCAGGGGAGTGAGATGGTTAGGAGAAAGAGAAGTTAGATACTCTGAGGGAGAGCCAAGGAAAGGGCTCAGACTTAGCAGTGGAAGTCTGTGAGCAGCTGCATGGGGGTAGAAGGAAAGAGAGGAACAGGACCAGGAAGGGGGAAGGGAGAGGGAGGGAGAGGGAGGAGAGAAAGTCCAGAGGGTTAGGGCAAGAGGCTTAGGATTTTAGCAGTGTGGTGAAAGGGGAGATGGAAAAAAAAGAGGAAAAGTTGCATTTTATGAGTTACAACACAGAGAGCATGCAAGCTTCACAGCAAGAGTGTGTCATCAACTGTCATGGGGGGGGCTTCTGAGGAGGTGTAAGTACATACTAAGAGGACAGTTATTATTCCTGTTGGTTTTGGTTTTTGTTTTTGAGATGGGGTCTCTCTACATAGCCCAGGCTGGCCTGGAACTCACAGAGATCTGACTGCCTCTGCTTCCTGAGCACTGGCATTAAAGATGTGCGCTACCATGCCCAGCAACGGCCGTATCCTTACATATTCAGACATAGTATGCCCTTTTCCCGTGCTCTGGATCTATGCTGATCCTCTTCGGATTGTAAAGCTTGATTTTCTTTTTTTCCATAGTAGGACTCTGTCCTTGCCTGCACATAGGAAACTCTTACTGTCTACAGCAAAGGGTACCATTGATCAAACCATTTATAAAGGGATTACTGACCATCAACCTTGCTCTTTGCATCAGAGGCTGTGATCGAGGTGGTATTCATGTATCTATCTCAAAGGGATGTCCAACATGCTGTCCATATAGGAAAGAATACTTTCGGCCGTGGACCATGGATCGTGCCCGCAGAAGCTGACATAGATAATGTATTATGTCTCAAATGGTACCTGGCAAGCAGCTGGCTGCAAGTGGTCCTTTATATTTTCTTCCCTGGTCCAGGATTCCCTGCCTGCCCTGGCCCCACCTCATCACATCTTCTGGTATCACCTGGCCCAGGTTGTCCTACAGCAGTGTGAACTGTCCCCTCTACAGGCAGGGCCTGTCCCCTCCACAGGCAGTGAACACCTCAAGGGCAGTGACTGCAGACGCTTCAGGGCATAAAGTAAGCAATGCCACGGCCAGGGTTGGCTTGAGGCCAATGCTCCTACCTTTGGCCTGTCCTCCAGGCCCCAGGATAAGGTCCCTCACTGCCACTCTCAAAAAGAAAGAGTGACCATTCCAGAGAAGAATCTGTTTCAAGTTTGTCCCAGGGTTCAACTGGGAGTTCAGCTCACTTTGAGTGGGTATTTTAGTACAGATGTCCATTTATTTAAAACATATACTATGCATATACATATACTATTACAAATATATACTATGAATATACATATATTACAAAGTTCATCAAACTATCAGTGTTATGAATGGTTTTCCCATGCATTCCACCCTCTAAAAGACAAGTATTAAGGCTTGAAGGTAAAATGGCCCATACAGGGGAGAAATTTAAACATTTATTTGTGAGTGTGTGTCTGTGTGTATATGTAAGTGTGTGTATGTGTGTGCATATGTGTCGGGAGCCAAACCCAGGAAACTACCTGCTGTCCTAAGAGAACCTAGGAAGTTACCTGCTGTTCTAGAAAGCCTAGTCAGTGCAAGGTTAAGAAAGGACGTTCATGGGTCTCAGGCCCCAGGAACTTAAGAATGTCTGGCATTTCCTGGGAGCTGGTTATGACAATGGGATGGTCTAGGGCAATAGGGATATGACAGTGGGAGGGTCTAGGGCAATAAGCATTCAACAGTGGGATAGCCCTAAGCAATGACCCTCACCCAAACTTCCTGGTTTGCTGTGTCTTTACAACCTGCACCCGAAATGAAAGTTTCAGAGCTTGATCAGAACCTCAGACTTGGGTTGGAGAGATGGCTCAGCGGTTAAGAGCACTGACTGCTCTTCCAGAGGTCCTGAGTTCAATTCCCAGCAACCACATGGTGGCTCACAACCATCTGTAATGAAATTGGATGCTCTATTCTGGTGTGTCCAAAGACAGCGACAGTGTACTCATAAATAAAATAAATAAATCTTTAAAAAAAAAAAAAGAACCCAGACTTGCTCTCATTCCTTGTGTCTCTTGTCCCTTCATTCTTTCGTCCCTTCCCTAAGGTCTTGTCGAATCCCCGTGGGCGGGCGGGGCACATATGTATGTGCATATGTGAGTATTTATGTGTATATCTGTGTGTATATGTGTGTGTACGTGTGTGTGTGTATCTGTGTGTATGAATATGTATGTGTGTGTGTATGCATGCACATTCACTCATGTACTTATTTGAGGTCAGACAACAGTTTGTGGGAGTCGATTCTCTCACTGTGTGGGTTCCAGGGACTGAATTCAGGTTACTGTGTTTGGTGGCAAGCACCCTTACCTGCTGAGCCATCTCACTGAGCTCAAAAATGCTACTTTTTTCCATTGCTGGAGACTGAGCGCGACCTCAGCTATTCTTGGTCAGCTCTCTAACAACTGAACCACAGCCTCAGCCCAGCGGAGACATTTTAAAGGATTTGGCTCACATGTCTAGCATCTCAAAAGTTCATTCTGTAGAGGAGGCCAGCTGGCAATATTAGGAAACTAAAATTTTAATTAATTTTATTTATTTATTATTAATTTATTATTAATTTATTTAAATATTAGGAGACAGATTTTTCTAAGCTTTTAAATTTTTCTTATTTATTTATTTATTTATTTATTTATTTATTTATGTCTTTTGAGACAGACTGTCACTGGTCTAGAACTCATAAAGATCTGAATGCCTTTGCCTTCTGAGTTTGGGGATTAAACATTTGTACTACCACACCTGGCTCTATTTGTGTGTGTGTGTGTGTGTGTGTGTGTGTGTATGCATGTGTATATATGTGTGTATGTATGGTGTATATGTGGATGTATATGTGTGTGTATGTGTGTGCATGTGTGTATGTGTGTGGTGTGTATGAGTGTGTGGTGTGTATGAGTGTGTGCATGTGTGTTTGTGTGTGGTGTGTATGAGTGTGTGCATGTGTGTATATGTGTGGTGTATATGAGTGTGTGCATGTGTGTATGTGTGTGGTGTGTATGAGTGTGTGCATGTGTGTGGTGTGTGGTGTGTATGAGTGTGTGCATGTGTGTTTGTGTGTGGTGTGTATGAGTGTGTATATGTGTGTGGTGTGTATGAGTGTGTGCATGTGTGTATGTGTGTGGTGTGTATGAGTGTGTGCATGTGTTTGTGTGTGGTGTGTATGAGTGTGTGCATGTGTGTATATGTGTGGTGTGTATGAGTGTGTGCATGTGTGTATGTGTGTGGTGTGTATGAGTGTGTGCATGTGTGTATGTGTGTGGTGTGTATGAGTGTGTGCATGTGTGTTTGTGTGTGGTGTGTATGAGTGTGTGCATGTGTGTATGGGTAGCGGTGTGCACATGAGTGAAAGTGCTCTCGCAGGTCAGTAGACAGTGTCAGATCCTCTGAAGCTTACAGACAGTTCTGAGTTGCCTGACATCCACGCTAGGAACCAAGCTCTAGTGGTCCTCTGCAGGAGTACTGTGCACTCTTAAACAGTGTCTCTCCAGTCCCCAACTCAGCACATCTTATGTTACATGACAGAAAGACAAGAAACGAAGGAGGGGCTGGAGAGATGGCACAGTGGTTAAGAGCAATGGCTGCTCTTCCAGAGGATCTAGGTTCAATTCCTAGCACCTATGTGGCAACTCATAGCTGTTTGTGACTCCAGTTCTTGGGAACCTGTTATTTTCATATAGACATACATGCAGGCAAAACACCAATGCACATGAAATAAAAATCAATAAATGTAAAAAAAGAAACAGAAGGAAGCATAGGTATTGTTATACACACACAGCCATGGTCATAAGGAAACAAGGACTAAATTCTCAAAACAGACTTAGTGACTGGTCACATGGTGGCAGCTGCCATTTATGACTGTCATCTACTACTGTGTCCCCTCGGCCTCAGGAATTGCCTCAGCTGCCTCAGCTTGTTACTGGTGAGGTGACCAATCCCCCTTTCTGAAAAGATCAACCTCGGTCACCACTGTAACCCAGCTCCATTTTTCACTGTGCTTAGTCCCTTTCAGCTTCCTGTGGCAATTCTAAGGGATGCCCTTGAGGGATCCCAGCACGCCAGGCACCTCGGGCTTTCCCCAACACTCAAAGGTATGAAGTTTGTCCCAGTCTCCTTGCAAGTGACTGTACAAGTTACTGAAGCATTTGAAATGCTACCTCAGGTTGTGCATCCTGGCCATGCTCAGGGTTCTCTGGCTAGTCCCCACCCTGTTCAGGCTAGTGTGGACCTGTGTCCACACATGCCTGGCAGGGAGCTCCAGGGTGTGTGTGTGTTGTGTGTGTGTGTCCCTTAGCTGCAGCTTCTACCCTTGATCTTCGGCTTGCCAGAGGGTCAAATTCACAGACAGTTTAAGCTTAAAACAAACAGTAGCAAAGCTGAACTTCGCCCAGTCAATGACAAACACGTGGACACCCAGAAGCTCAATACTGTAATCAGTAGGTGGCTTTTCTGTCAGACTTGTATGGGAATTTTCAGTCCCAGGTAAAGCATTGGAAGGAAACACATCAAGCCTGGAGAGATTTCCCTGGGCGGTTACTACACCCTGCTGAGGAGTAAGAGGGTTCTGGGGCATCTGGCTGGTCGCTGTCTGGAGGGGGCTGCTGGTAGGTGCTGCAGACGCCGCTTCACTGCACTGGCTAAGGTAAGAGAAAGCTTAGAGCTGGGCAGTTTTGGTGCATGCCCTTAATCCCAGAACTTGGGAGGCAGAGGCAAATGGCTCTCTCTGAGTTCAAGGCCAGCCTGGTCTACAATGAGTGAGTTCCAGGTCAGCTAGGGTTACACAGAGAAACCTGTTTGTAAAACCAAAAGGGAAACAAACAGACAAACAAACAAAAAGCCCAAAAGGAAAAAAAAAAGAAACCTAAAACCCAAACAGAAAGACTAAGTAGCTTTGCAAATGAAAAAGCCAGGTTTTAACTCTGGTCCCAACAGGCAGAAATGAAAGGGAAAAAATGTGAAATAAACATGTAACTGTGTCTCTTGTTTTTAAAACTTAAAAAAAAATACACTTAGAAGTATAGAAAATGAAATCAGATTTAAGCATTGAGAGTTGTGTCCCATGTACACTTAAGGTTTCTATGGGCCAGGTACGGTGGTATACACCTAGAGTTCCCAAAATCAGAAGGCTGAGGTAGGAGGATTGTGAGTTCAAGGGCAGCTTGAATTACACAGCTTGTCTCATAAAAACAATAAAGGTAATATGCTCATGAGGTCAGTTAATAGTAAGATGACTTCTTGAGAGTATCAGAAGCTGGCTACTATGTCAGAACCACTGTGAAGCATTTCCATATAACCTGGATGCTACGGAGACAGTGCTGAGCCTGCTATAGAAAGAGTCTCTACTCCAAATACCTCATAAATTGGGATTATAAGTCTGGGGGAGGGGTCAGTAGTAGTGTGTGCTCAGCAGGCACAAGGCCCTGAGTTCAATACCCAGAAGCTTCCTTCCTCTTTCCCCGAAAAACCCTATCTATCTATCTATCTATCTATCTATCTATCTATCTATCTAATCTAACCTGGGTGATAGATAAATAGATAGATAGATAGATGATAGATAGATAGATAGATAGATGATGGATGGATGATAGATAGATAGATAGATAGATAGATAGATAGATATATGGATACTATAGATGACAGATGACGCTCGGCTGTAAAGTACAAAAGGTCTCAGACTGCTTTCAGGATGGTGGCAGAATTGAGGGGTGTGAGGCAGATAGGCACTTAGCACAGTGATTGGTACAGTGCTAACCCACTAAGTGCTACTGTTTATTGAAAGCAGGCTCTCCTCAGTGGTTTATTGAATTTCTGAAACAGCACAGTTCTGAGGACAGAAGAGTTCAGTGTCTGAAGCTGAAGGAATTTTACAGTTGCTGTTGCTTGGGGTGTGGCAGAGTGGCTCAGATGCATGGCTTTTATTATCTGCTTGTCCTCAATCCTTTTCAAGGATTCCAGTAAAGACTGGGATGATGGCACACACCCGTAATCCCTGCACTCACAAGACTAGGAAAAAAGGAAGGCTGGTTCCAGGCTAGCCTGGGCTCAAGAATGAGTCAGAACTAAACAAACAAACAAACAAACCCCAATGACCCAAATGAGCTTTGCTTAGATTTAAAGACTATTCACCCCCACTGTAAAAATGCTAGTCAGGAGACAGGGAAGGGCTGGCGAGTTATCTCAGTGGTAGAACATCTTGTGTGTACAAGGCCTTGGGCTCTATTCCCAGAACTGAAATTCTTTTAAAAGCCCAGATCCCCAAACCTGAGACAGAAAGGAGGTGGGTGGGTGTGTACCTTCCCTGATTCCTGCCCCACCCCCACCCCACCTCTGCTCCTTTGGGCTCTCTTGCCTGCTCACCGAAGGGGATGGGAAGCCCCCTCCACTTCTCTTTGATCTGCAGATTTCAGTTTAACAGTCACATTAGGGTCAACTGTCAAAGTCTTTCCCCAACACACCACCTGGAGTCCCACAATTTGATTTAGAAACTTTTATTGGCTTTTTGTCTTCACTACCAATTGTAAAATAAGCTACTTGATACTTGTAAAATCCATACGATTAAGAATGTTTTCTATTAAGTCTCTCTCTCTCTCTCTCTCTCTCTCTCTCTCTCTCTCTCTCTGTGTGTGTGTGTGTGTGTGCAGGTATTCACATACTTCTACACTTGTGTGGAGGTCAGAAATCAACTTTAGGGAGTCTGTTCTCCCTTCCATCATGAGGCAGGGTCTGTTTTGTTTCTGGGCAGCATATTCCAGCCTGGCTGGTCCATGAGCTTCTGGAAAACTCTCCTGTCTCTGCCTTCCCTCTTGATATAGAAGTACTGAAATTAGCCGGGCAGTGGTGGTGCATGCCTTTAATCTGCACTTGGGAGGCAGAGGCAGGCAGATTTCTGAGTTCGAGGCCAGCCTGGTCTACAGAGTGAGTTCCAGGACAGCCAGGGCTATACAGAAGAAACCCTGTCTCGAAAAAGAAAAAAAAAAACCCACAAACAAACAAAAAAGAAGTACTGAAATTACAGATGTGCAAACACACTTGTCTTTTTCTGTGTGTTGGGGGTTTAGACTCAGTCATGGCTTTGGCTCCACCCCCACCTCACCCCACCACCAACATCTGGTGCCATCTCCCCAGGCCTCCAGTTTAAAAGAAAAACTCAATTGCATCAAAACAGAAAATCTGTGGAGTCTGGGGTAGCAGATAGAACCACTGATTTCTCGCCCCATCGATATCCTCCCAGAGGACCACACACCCGGCTCGGTGAGGGCTTGGAGGTGGCTAACGGCATGGTTTAGTCTGCAGCAAGCAAATGCTGCTCTCTCTACTACCAGCAGGGAGCAGAGGTACACAGGGCCAGAGTCCAGAAAGGAGAAAGATATTAACTAAGGGCTGGCATTGGCCGAAGTGTGAGCTAGGAGGTGATGAGGATTCCATTTAGCAGGGGGACTTGGGTGTGGCGGTTTCTGAGACTCTTTCAGAAGGCTGATTCTTCTGTGAAACTTCGCCTGAGGGCCCCACTCCCCACTCTCACTGCATGTCTCTGTCCCCCCCCCCCTTTTTTAGAAAACTTACACAGTAGGACTCCTGCTGACTCACTTAGCTCATGCATGCATATCCGTTCATAGCAAAGATCATTTCCCTGCCAAACCTACGTTGGATATTTGCAACAGCGCCCTCTGGCTGTTCAGGTGAAATGCACAGGTGCTAAAGAGCCTGGCCCCAGGTCTTCTGTCTGGGCAGTGAGGTGCAGGAAGGCACATCTTGGCACATCTTGCTTAGAGTGACCTGGTTACCACGGGTTTCTGTTTCATGTGTTCAGATTCAAGACCAAGCCTTTTCTCTAGTTCCCAAATTAGCAGACAGAACTGTACTAGGGAGAGAATGAGCTGAGATTCGGCCGGGGCCCAGTTGTGTCTGACTGACCCTCAGTCCTGCCTGACTCTCACCCAGTCAAAACCTTTCTCCTGGGCGTGGCCACTTCCTGCTTGTTTCCACGGTGTTAGTGGTGCCCTCGAGGGTAGGGCATTTGGGAAATGAAAGCATGAAGTCTCAAACCCAACAAACCAGTTCTTCATTAGCAGGGTTGGAAGAGCCTGAAGTAAAGGCTGGAATGCCTCTTTGAAGCAACCACTGGCTTCATCTGGGTCCCCCTGCCTCCCAAAGTGGCAAAAGAGGAGGGCATGTATATTGATAGCTTATTTGGGATGTGAATCTCCTTTACATGGATAACGGGGTGATGAAAGAACATTTTCACCAATCACACGGCTTACTGGCATACAGAGAAGTTTGCTTTTTATAATGCTTAAAAGTGGGAAAAGAGCCAGGTGTGGTGGTGCTTGCCTTTAAATCTGCCTATAACAATAATGATAATAATAATAATATGTATTTAAAGTGAGGAGAAAAATCTCACAGGGAATACACTCCATAGACAAAAATACATTAACCACACCTAATTTCTGTTTAATTTAGATGCTAGTTTTGAGAGTCAAGTGGTTCCCTGTTCCCTCTGTGCATAGAAAGTCTAGCAAGCACCCAAGGCATACCTTTCTATAAGTTCTTAGGAGAGATGGTTTGGCCACCCAGATATTACAAAAGGCACTGGGGAAGGGGTGTTGCTTACTAGAAGGCAGTGTCCTGGTGGATGAGGCTGCTCTGGGTGGCCTTGTGATCTCTCTGAGGGTACAACTCTTGGGGGTGCTCTGTGGTTTGGAATCCAGTAGTCGAGGTTGATATCTATCTCATGGTAGAACATTCTCTCTGGGAAGAGGACTGCTACTCACCTAGTCAACCATTAGGACTCCAAAGCTGCAGAGTAAATCTCCAGGAACAGGAGTGTCTCCCTGTAGTCAAATGGGGAGGGTGGCCTGAAAAAGGATGTGCAGCTGAGTTGGTCACATTGTTCACTACCACAGATCCCATGGGTATTATCATCACAGGAAGTACACTAGACTTACCTCAGAACAGTCAAGGGGCGTAATGAGTGGCAGATTTGGGTCTCGAGGGGGCAATATTGGTCAGAGAGTCTTGGTGCAGTTGTCTCTCGGCTTAGCCAGTGTCAGAGGGCAGTGGGTTGTTGCAGGCATCCTAGAGGGCTGCAACAGGGACACTCTGAAGCCAGAAAGCACAGGTACAGGTGGGGCAGGGGCTTCTCAGGTTACACCAGAAAAGCTGGGCTGGAAAGATTCTGAAGCAAGAGTTGTCTAAAGTAAAGTCAAATAGTTCAACTAATTATCACAGTCTTTTATAAATCTTTACACACAATTCTTAGACCAAAGTTAGAATCTACGGTTTTCCTAGGTGGGAAGATTAACTCTTCTAGCATGGTATAATCCTTAAAGTGTAACCTGGTGACACAGTATACTCTAGCGAGTAGGCAGTTTGGGGGGGGGGGGGGTGGATGATGATATTATTTTGTTATTCTGTGTTTGAGACAGGATTTCTCTGTGTAGTACCGGCTGTGCCAGAACTCACTCTGTAGATCAGACTAGTCTTGAACTCAGAGATCTGCCTCTGTCTCCCAAATGAATGCAGATATTAAAGCCATGCGCTAGTTTACAGGATAGAGATTTATTGTTATGGATTACGGCACCATCTACTGAGTGACTTGAGTCTGGCTTGAAACGGGCTCAGAGAACTAAGGCGTTCTCTTTT